ATCGCGATCTCTGTTAACATTCATTCTCACAGTCACACGTTACATGGCCTCGAACTACCGCCCTCCACTAACGCATATCTGCTATTACAGCATAATATTAGTAACTGATCTCAACATATCTTGTCAGACAACATAGCGACATATTCTGCTGAATTACTTTTCCTCCTCTTTTGTCCCTTATGTTCCTGTTCAGTGCCTCTCGTGTCTCGTTCGCCATTCGTGTCGCGACGAGGAGAGCGGGTCCTTCAGGGGGTGGAGAGGGGCCGGCGGCGCAGGCTGCGGTCGTAGGTGCGCGGGAGTGGCTGCCAGACCTTGGCGCATCCTCACCCGTCGCCCCGCTCTCTCGCTCACCACAGCATTGGCCGCGCGTCATTGCATCTCGGGTGACTGTTTTCTGCACAGGATTGAGTGAGGGAGATGGATTGGAGACAGTGGTGTGCTTGAGCTGGCTTGCACCAGAGTCACTTGGGAGCATATCTTCCCAACTCCATGTTCAGTGACTATGGTTTGTAGCTTAAAATTGGCCGTGGTGGGATTATTTACACCATGAAATTGGGAAACATTAAGCATCAGCAATGCCCGTTCCCCAAGAGCTGGTTGTTAAACATTTACCAGCACACCACTGATTTGGGGAAATGAAAACATGTAGAAATGAAGATAAAATAGCAATTTCACAAACAGTTTTTAAAACAACAACAACTTCATTTTAACCTTGGGGGGAAAAAATATAGAAAAAGTGAACCTGCCCTAGCCGGTTTGGCTCAATGGATAGAGCGCAGCCTGCAGACCAAAGAGTCCCGGTTCTGTTCCAGTCAAGGGCATGTACCTCGGTTGCAGGCTCCTCCCCAGCCCCGGCCCTGGTCAGGGCTCCTGCAGGACAACCAATCCACATCGATATTTCTCTCTGTCTTTCCCTCTTTCTTCCACACTTTCTTAAAAAATCAATGGAAAAATATCCTCGGGTGAGGATTAAAAACAAAGAAGAAGAAAAAGTGAACCTAACTAGTCTATGAAGAACAAGAACTGTGATAAGTGAAATAAAAAGTCAGAGTTGGAGCAGCCTATCATTCTTGGACTATAGTGTTCAGTGACAGGGTTTTAAGTTACCCCTGACTTTTTTACAGATTTGAGAGGGCTCAGTATCCCAAGGCTGGACTAGGGAAAGACGTTAAATCTTCAACATCAGCTCTAGTGAGCAAGAGTGAGAGCTAGGAGGGGGTATCTGAATTTGAACCAGGGACCTCTTGGTCTGCAGTCAAATACTCTACACTTGAGCTACAGACATACACCTAAGTAATACCTTTTGCCTATGTAGTCATGCCCAATATTCCTATAAAATGTTGCCACCACTGTTCATTCAGGTTGGGCCTCCTGAAAGCTACCAAGCCTGCCTCACTGCAATTTATCTTCCTGATGCAAAGCAAGCACCAGGTTCCCTTTGCTATAGCCACCTGCCTGCCCTTTCTGGAAAAGCACTGACAATTATAGCTGGAAGGGGCCTGTCTCAGATTTCCTGTACTCGGGAATCATATTGGGAACTTGTCAAACATGATCTGGCGTTAGGAACAAGCTCCGTATGGAGGGTCAGGAAACCCCACTTGGAGAAACACCTGTCATGGATCTACATCTGCTTCCTTTTTCGCCACCTGCTGGAAGACTCCGGTACTGAAATACCCAAGTAGGGGATAGGCTGAGAATTCTAGCACCAGTCTCAGGACTAGCCAGAGCTGGTGGGGAGAGCCAGGATTGAAACCAAGGACCGCAGTCAACTGCTCATACTCTGAACTCCGCTGTAGACGAGTGGTCCTTAATTTTATGTGCATCAGAATCCTAACATTCATCTGGAGTGCTTACTAAAACAAAGATGACAGTCCCACCCTAAAAGTTTCTGATGAACAACTTTTCAGGTCATGCTGATGCTGCTGGTCCCAGGGCCATACTTTGAGAGCCACTGCTGTAGACCTTCACACACCTGGGACCAGACACTTTCACACTGCAGCCACACCGAGGGTGCCTGTTCACCAGTGTTTCTTCTGCATGCCCCACATTCCCAAAGGTTTCCACGGCTTTACCCATCCACACTCCAGATCTCCTCCCCTATCATCCTTTCTTTCTTAAAGAAAAGCCCTTCCATTCTCACTCCCGCCCCACTCAGGGTGGTCATCAGACCTCCTTCAAGCTCTCTCTGTCTGCAGCCTCTCCCTCTCCATAGAGACCTGCTAAGGCAGATCCATCTCACTGGATGATGAATTCTGGGTGAATTTACTGACGTGCAGAGTGCAGATCAGCCCTTGGCATATGTGTGCACAGATCTTTATTCTGTTCATCACTGCCAAGTTCTGCCAAGGAAGAAGACACATTCCATTTCATTAACTCGTACTTCACGAGCCATGTAGATGTGAGAAGGGAATGTCGGGGTTGGCTCGGCCTCCCCCAGCTGTATGCAGCAGGGTGGGCAGTGCCACAGCAGAGCCTGCTCCTGCTGAACGCTAATCCACATGCTGCTTCAGTTGGAGGAGGAATATGTTTCTTAATCACTGTGGAAGGAAATAGCAAAAATTGTCATTGATAAATGGCAGCCACTAAATATACATTACTTTAGTATCCTGGCCAAAGAAATGGGGAGCAAATACATAATTCTGCAATTTCCACACTGACGTGTATTGGCTGTTAGGAGTGTTTGCATGAGTTCTGGAAATGAAAGAGAAGATAAAGCATTTCTTCCATAACACTGAGAGGCAGGGCTCAAGTGAAATATCTCAGGTGTACACGTCTCTCACCATTGAGAGACAACTGTTACCACAGTTAAAATAACATTTTACTTTTTATCCCAATGGAGACAAGACATTCTAAATGTTGTTTGTGCCTCTTGTGTTAAGAAATCCTTCCCTGAGAGTATAAAGATTCACATTTTTAATTCAAATTGTTTTAAAGTTTTCATATTAAGGTCTTTAATTCACCTGGAATCCACCATTCTGTTTGGCGAGGGTTCAAAAATGTTTTTCAATATGGAAACCAGTTATTTCAGTACCATATGTTGAATAATTTGGTACTTTCCCCACTAGTTTGTGACTCCATTTTCAATATATATAGGGGGACCATATATTTATCATCCAGGAAACTTTTGAGGGTGAAAGGAAATGCTATTTCTATTTATGCTGGGACCACAAGCATAAACTGAGCACTTAATGTCCCACGGCAGGAGAAAATGGATATGTCCCAGCTCAACAGAGAGCAGATTCACCCTTCCTCAGCCTCTGTTCTTCTGGGCCCCTCAACAGACCAGATGACGCCCACCCACATTGGTGAAGTCCATCTTCTTCTTTTTTTAAAAAAAATATATTTTATTGATTTTTTACAGAGAGGAAGGGAGAGGGATAGAGAGAAACATCGATGAGAGAGATACATCGATCAGCTGCCTCCTGCACACTCCCCACCGGGGTTGTGTCAGCAACCAAGGTACATGCCCTTGACCAGAATCGAACCTGGGACCCTTCAGTCCACAGGCCTACGCTCTATCCACTGAGCCAAACCGGTCAGGGCAAGTTCATCTTCTTTATGCTAATCTCTTCTGGAAACACCCTCACAGACACACTTGGAAGTTATGTTTTACCAGCTCTCTGGGCATCCCTTCTTCCATTCAAGTCGACACATAAAATTAATCATCACAGTTTCCCTTTTCATATACCAAGTTCCCACATATGCATGGGCCACATGTCCTGTTCCGTTCATTTGTCTATCTATTCCTATGCTCACTAGTTTGATTACATTCACTTTATAAGTCTTGCCATGTGGCAGAACATGTCCAACCTTGTTTTCATACCTTAAATTGTCACCGCTGGTCTTAAACCTGTTTTTTCAAGTTCTAATGGAGTCCTTTTCAATCTTTGCTGAAATTACAATGAACCACATTGTTGAATTGAAGAGGATTGGCATTCTTATAATATTGAGTTCCCCACCCATGACTATGGAATCATCTCCATTAATTCAGGTTTCCTTTATAACCTTCAGCAAAATTATTTTATAATTTTGTCAATAAAGAACTTATGTTACTTTATTTCTAGTTACCTTATGATTTTTTTTTTTGTTATTAAGAGGATTTTTACCCTAATTCATCATCTAGCTGGTTACTGCTGGTTTATGAGGAATGATACTCATTTTTGTATTTTGATTTTGCATTGAGCAATCTAGCTGAACTATCTTGGTTCTAATGATTTTTCTCTACTTTTAGTGTTGGCAATCATAGTATCTACTAATAAGGACAGTTTGTCTCTTTTCAATCCTTCCTTTCTTTTCATTTTCTTGTTTTCTTATAGAGGCTAGGACCCTCCGTACA